GGCTCAAGCAATCCTTATGCTTTGGCCTCCCAAAGTGTTAGGATTACAGGCATGAGCCACCGTGCCTGGCCAAAGTTAAATTTAATAAAAGCCCACAACTCTACACTTCAGTGAATGTTGCTTTAAATTATACTGCAGGTTAGAAGTTGCATTTCTTATATTCCTATTGGTTTACAGAACAGATCCCTCAACCAAACAGAAAAGCTTCCATCAATTATTCTTGTCATGGTAACAGCAGGGAATGAAACCAAGCAATATAGGTCAGACCACCAGGAAAACATATCCAGCAACACTGAACAGCTGTGCTCCTACCCATGGTCCCAAAGGATCTGGAGATTCTAAAATCCATTAGCTTTCCCTGAAATCAGCAGCTCAATAGTTAAGAACTGTTTTCATCATAACAAGGCTCTTTTCACTTATCACCGAATGTGAGTTTGGAAAAAAGAGGCTTTGGAGTCAGAGGGTCTAGGTTCAAGCTTACCTCTTGATGCACAGGGTAAGCCTGGGACCATAATATATTACACTTGGCTTCCCAAACCTCTTTTTTTTTTTTTTTTTTTTAAATGACAGAGTCTTGCTCTGTTGCCCAGGCTAGAGTGCCATGTCATCAGCCTAGCTCACAGCAACCTCAAACTCCTGGGCTCAAGGAATCTTCCTGCCTCAGCCTCCTGAGTAGCTGGCACTACAGGTGTGGGCCACCACACCCAGCTAATTTTTTTCTATTTTTATTAGAGACGGGGTCTCACTCTTGCTCAGGCTGGTCTCAAACTCCTGAGCTCAAGCGATCCTCCAACCTCGGCCTCCCAGAGTGCTAGGATTACAGGCACGAGCCACTGTGCCGGCCCCAAACCTCATTTTTTTGCATGTGTCAAATGGAAACAAATTATATCAACTTTGTGGGATTGTTGGAAAGAGAAAAAGTTAAAGTGCGTTATACTATACCTGCCCCTGTAAATGCTTGATAAATGACAGTTCCTACTCTATATATACTGTTTTGTCTTTTTTTCCCCTTGTTTTCAAAGAAAACCATGTTGATTATTTTATTAAAAATTCCAACTAGACTAAAACACATGGAATAAAAAGTGAAAGGACCCTTCGAGACCCCTCCCACCTCTACTTAAGTGTAACTTTCCAGGCTTTTTTAAAGTCCCTTTCCCATATGTGTGTACCCACATATGTGTTTACCCCTTAAAATGCAGTCAATCTTCTGCTTTACAACTTGTTTTTTGAATTTAATATCTCAGATTCACCTTCCCCGGCTGTTAATACTTATAGCTCTAGTTCATTCTTTTTAATGGCTGCACGGTGTTCCAGTGTGGATGTACCAAAATTTGTGTAACTACTCCATTAATGGACATTTGGGTTATTCATAATTTTTAGTTACAAAATTTTAAATTATATTTATGATATTGCACAAACATCTCTATAAGCAGTGTTTTATACTTATTTAGACACAACAAACATTTCATACATGTATATATAGTCTGTTCACACAGGTGACAAGTTCTGTAGTACAGATTCCCTAGAATTGTTGGGATAAAAGACATGAACATGGAGGGGGAGAGGTTGGTCAATGGATGGTTGGTCAAAGTTATGATTAGATAGGAAGAATAAGTTCCCGTGTTCTGTTGCACAGTAGAGTGCCAATGGTTAACACTACAGTATTATATTATATATGACAAAATAGCTAGGCAAGAGGTTTTTGAATGTTCTTATCACAAAGAAATAAAGAAAGCATGAAGTGATGGATATCCTAACTACCCTGATTTGATTATACAACATATACATGTATTGAAGCACCAAATTGTGCCTCATAAATATAATTATAATGTATCAATTTAAAAATTTAACAAAATTTTAAAAAAATCCATAACCCAAAATAATGCAAATAAAACACGTAAACTGAAAAAAAAGACAAACATTTTAAACTTTGATAAATATTATCAGATTTCTCCTAGAAAGGCTATGTCAATTCACATACCCACTAACACCAGATGAAGATGCCTTTTTCTTCACTTTTGCCTACATCAGAGGTTGTAAACCTCTTTTCACTTTTTCCAGTGGGCAAATAACAGTATGCACTGCTGTTTTAATATTCATGTTCCTAACTCCTAGGGAGGCTGAGCATTCTTTCAGACTTAATTAGTCCTTTGTTAGTCTTCTGTGAACTGCCAACTTTGCCCATTTTCCTATCACGTTTTTTACTTGCAGGAGTACTTTATGATGGATATTAAGCCTTTGCTACTTAGATATATTACAGATTATTTCTCTCAGTTCATCGTCTTTAACTTTGAAGATATTTTGAATTAATAAATTGATTTGGAGAGATGTGTCATCTTGTTTCCTCATCAGCCTGCCTGGTCCCATCCAGGGCCATGGTATGAAAATACACACAAGTTATTTTCTTTGTCCGTCAGTGAAGTTTTATACTTTTCTTCACAGAGGTCTTATTCACGCCTTGTTGGAAAGCCAGAGGATCCTTCTTGCCACTTTATACCCACAAGATTTACTATCTAGATGGTTTGATACCCTACCTTTTTATCTCTTCCTACATTTTCATATCATTTCCACTCAATTGCTACTTTTTTTTTTTTTTTTGGGACAGAGTCTCACTGTGTTGCCCGGGTTAGAGTGCCGTGGCGTCATCCTAGCTCACAGCAACCTCAAATTCCTGGGCTCAAGCGATCCTTCTGCCTCAGCCTCCCGAGTAGCTGGGACTACAGGCATGCGCCCGGCTAATTTTTTCTATATATTTTTAGTTGTCCGATCAATTTATTTTATTTTTAGTAGAGACGGGGTCTCGCTCTTGCTCAGGCTGGTTTCGAACTCCTCAGCTCAAATGATCCATCCGCCTCGGCCTCCCACAGTGCTAGGATTACAGGTGTGAGCCACTGCCCCCGGCCCAATTGCTACTTTTTTGAGAGCAGAAACTTTAATATCTGCAAGCTGCTGCTCTGAATTGTATGCCAGTGCCTTGCGCATAGTGGGTTGGTGAAAAAATGTTTGAGAATAATGATTGCTCAAGAGAGAATCAAGGTGACAGCTGCTACAAAGAGGGAGCTGAGAATGTGAAGCAAAAGCTTCTTGAAGTACTCAATGTCGACAATAAAAGATGAGGTGTTTCCCACTTACTTTGAAAATACAAACTGTCCAATTATGTGAAATGTAGGGACACCAAATGCTCCTGTATGGTGTTTGATAGGATGAGAAGTTTACAACCTACATAACGACAGCTAACAACAATCTAAGCAACAGTGGAAGGACAGGAGGAGAGAGACTAGAGGAGGAAGGCTCAAGGGTCATGGATCTCAGAAGGATTCCACTAGTAATTTAAACACAGTAGATACAGAAAGCACTATTAAAAACTATCAGCCTACACGAAAATTTACATAGGAAGCCCTTTATCTAAAAACCACAGCTTGTTCTCCCAAGTTTATCCAGGTCAGTGTTTGGGACAAAAATAAATCAACAAATTGAACATACTGTGGATTAAGCTGCAATGATAATTCAGGAATATGAGAAACTCACACTTCATTTTGGCACCCCTCTGTAGCACAAGAGAATACAGATTCAAACAAGATCAACTCACTGCCTCCACTTTAAAATAGGTCCTTAAAAGCAACAGTTCTGGAATGAGACTGCCAGGAAAACAGAATCTCCAGCTTCTTCATTAGCCTGCCTCATCCTTGATCCTTAAGGGAAAAAAGCACCCTGGTTCTGAGGCTGCAGGCATGTTCAAAACAGGTGTCAAAATCCAAAAATGAATCTCAATACCAGTATTTTCTAAATGAGAAACACAACCTGGATATACATGTTTCCTATTCCAGTTACTTGAGAAACTCATATCAAATACTTACTCTTTCAAAAGTCTCTAAACAACTTTTATAATTTAATATGGAAAAACAAAGCAGGTTGTCAAACTTAACATTTAATTCTGAATAAATGATCTTAGTGATTTTGATTTTTAAAAGGCCAGGAAAACTCACAAATCAGAACAAAAATCATCCTAAGTCTGAGAATGAGAATAGTTTAACAATGCCCAAAGAATACTTGGCAAACACACATGAACTTGACTCACCTATTTACTTTCCTTTCTTAGCATTTTAGCTAAAGTATTTTATATTTTCCTTGATGCTCCTAAATCTCTCAAATGAAAATAGTGAATATTAAAAAGCAACCAAAATAGCACACCCTCTCCCTTTCTCCTTGTTACTCACGGTTCCCTTAAGAATTCTATTTCTAGAGTTGCAGTAAATTCCCCCCAACATCTCAGTTTGAATATCAAGTTTAAGAGACAGCACACATCAACGCTTAATGACTTGCCAGTGGAGGGGAATCTGAGAAACATATGGAAGACGATGAAGAGACTCACACAAAGATTTTGGAGCAAAACTAAAGATTAAAAATAACATCATCTGGGCCAGCCGCAGGGGCTCATGCCTATAATCCTGGCACTTTGAGAGGCTGGGGCAGAAGGATCGCTTGAGGTCTGGAGTTTGAGACCAGCCTGAGCAAAAGCAAGACCCCATCTCTACGAAAAACAGAAAGATTAGCCAGCCATGGTGGCGTGCACCTGTAGTCCCAGTTACTCGGGAGGCTGAGGAAGAAGAATTGCTTGAGCAAAGGAGTTTGAGGTTGCAGTGACCTACGATGATGCCACTGCATTCTAGCCTAGGTGACAGATCTAGACTCTGTCTCAAAAAAAAAAAAAAAAATCATCTGAGTGCAACAGAAAAGGACCTAAGCCACTGGTCTGGCATCAAATGTTTAAACTGAAATTACTTAGGCTAAAGTAGACAGATAGTTATTCAGTCTGGCTCTATCACTAATCTGGCTTTATCACTAATTTACTCATCTATGTTTCAATCTGGCTCTATCACAAATTTACTCACCTCCCTGAGACTCAGTTCCCTCCTCTACAGAATGGGGACAACAGTGCCTACCTCCTAAGGTTATTTTAATGATTACTTGGGAAAAGCCATATAAAGCACTTAGCTGACCACTTAGTACACAGGAAGTGCTTCAACATCAGCTGTCATAATGAATGCAATTAATTTGCTGTCATTGGAAACCATACAATTGAGCCTCTCAGGAAATTGAGAGATCACCTCCAAGTTGGACACACTGTTACATGGACTTTGTAACATTCGTTGTGATAGCTCAAAGGTCTTTTTTGTTTATGCTTACTTCCTGGATCTCAGCTATGTTCCAGGGAGATAGGTGAGGCCTGCAGACAGCAGAATCAATGATGTGGTGTTACTTTAGATGTGGAAATTTTTAGAAATAAATCTGGTAAATGGAGTCTCTTTCACCCAGGTCCTTTAGGACTCCATCTTTTACCGCCTTTGTAAAAAACTAAGTTCTTGAGTTCAACAATAGTTATTTTGCTAAGGCCGTATCCATCAAAAATAAGTTTAAGGAATTTTTAAAGAAATTATTTTAAAATTTGCAATTCTTATACACTTAGGATTAATTAGATGTAAAATTCCACAGCTATTATCTGGGAAGATTCGTCTCACTGCCTCCCAGCAATGCTTGCACGAAATATGTACTCCTGAGGAGAGAAGCAGTCAACTCACTGGTGACGTGGAGTAGGGAAATGCATGAGACCTCCTCGGTACCGACGCCGCAGTTTTAAGAGAACCCGTTATTAGATGGAGGCACTGGGAGTTTGACAAACCAGTTCGTTTCTCAAAGCAGCATTAATTATGCCAAGAAATTCACTTAAGACCTACCCACAGCTCCTCCCGCGGCAGGTGTGATCCTAGACCCGAGGGCTTAGGTGAAGCCCACACAATTCTAAAGACAGGCCGGACCCGACCCCCTAACCTAGAGCCCAGTCCTTTAAGGGGCAGAGTGGGGAGTAAGACGACCTCTCCCTCCGCGCGCCCCACCTCCCGAGCTGGCTTGGCTGCCACGTCAGGCCGAGCCAGCCCTGGTCCTGCCCATCCTCCTCCCGCCCGTCCCATTGATTCGCGGGCTTCCTGCACCCCGGACCCTCCACTCAAGACCCCGCCCGAGCGCCCGGGGAAGTGCCCCATCAAAGCCCAGGGTGGCTGACGGACCCCCCCACCCCAAACTTTTCAGACAGAACAGGGCCCCGCGCCGTCCGGTTAGCGCCTCCCCGCCCCGACAGCTCAAGTTCGCGAGCGGACCAAGTGCGGAGCGGGGCCCGGCGATGCGACATCCTGGCCCGGCCTCGGCGCTCACCCCGAGAGCCCACAGGCTACCCCCCGAGTTCTGGCACCTCCCCTGGCCAGCCGAGGGGGTGTGTCTGGCCGGCGCAGGCCCGCTGGGCTGTGGGGCGGCCGAGGTCGGCGGCTCCTCCAGGCGACCCAGCCCCCGCCCGAATCTCTCCGGGCCTCCCCGGCTGCTCACCGGCGCAGGAGCGCGTCTTCCAGATCTTCAGCAGCAGAATGACAATGGCCGCCAAGTGGGACAGGTCCCCGGTCAGCCGGAAGATGTTCATGGCGGCGGCGGTCGGCGCAGCGCGGCGGCCCCGGCGCTCGGCGGCTCAGGCGGCGGCTGCAGCCTCTGAGAGGAAGCGGCGAAGATGGCGAAAGCAGGCGCGACGTGGCCAGGGACGTGGCCGAACTGCCGGCGCGCGCGCGGGGCAGCCTGGGAGAGCGGGCCGCCGCCAGGCCCCGCCCCCCTCCCCGCCCCTTAAAGGGAACGTGCCCGAGCGCAGGCCGGCCCGGCAGCCCTTGGGGCTCCCTGCGGAGAACCCCTACACCTCGCCGACTTCTCCCTGCGGGGTTTCCGGCTTCCCCTCGGGTGCGAGCGAGCGCTTTCCTTTAATTTTTGAAATGATCCCTTTTTGTGAGAGTTTTTTTCTTCCTCTCACCATAAGAGTTCTACAGGCTTATTGTATGAAAAAATATAAGAGGAAAAAAATTAATCCGTAATTGCGTTACTCAAGATAAAGTGGACATTGGCGATGTCGCGGAGAATGCGGTTTATGTGGGGATTCGAAGATTTTATCAGTCTAGGGACTGTCTTTATGAAAGAGAAGGCAAAATTAGAAAAGTGAACATTTCTGTAGGATGAGAAAGTCACAAGAAATTACAAAGGCACCAAAGCTGACAAATGATCTGCTTACAGAACGTGCGGTGCCCAGAGCAAAATGAAAACGCAGGGTCCCTGTTTCAAAAAGGGGTGAGGGGGAAAGTGCTGTTAAAGTACTAAAAGATAAAACGTTTTTCCTTTGCAGTCTCCCTCTCTCAACTTGCGATGTTTCTTGTTTGCTATTTACCGTTGTTCTAAGTAAAGAGGAAATAAAAATTTAAATTATGATCATGAGTTTTACCATGGGGCGATGGTAAAACTTTATATGGGGAGATGTCAGTTTTGAATGTAAATATCAGAGCATTTAACTCAGATAAGGAATCTCTGAAAGTGCACAATTCGTATTTCATGGCTCGTCCATGGAGGGTGCCTGGAGCTGTCCAGAAGAGATGGACACAGGCCAGACCCAGGAATATTGGAAGGAAGGTGGGGAGGAGGTGGGTCCATCAGGCAACAAGCAGGCCAAGGGAGCACACCCACCTTCAGGCGAGGGGATGCTGGATGGGGCAGTGTAGACGCTCATGTGTGCCAGGGGAACATGTGACAGTCTACACTGAACTTGGACAGAGTATGCACTTGGGCCTGATGGCCACTGGTTCCCTCTCCCACCAACTGAGCAGTCAAGGCAGGGAGGGTGAGTCAAGCATCACCCCTTTCCATCCACCTGACAGACAGCAACCCTCATGGGCATTGCCCCTGCTGAGTTGCCCACTAAGTACACCATGGTGGTGGACAGCTACCAATATGACCAGAGAGGCCACAGCTTGCCGACTCTGACCTGACCTGACCCACTCTGCCCCTGCACCCAGGCCTCCACCTGAGTGGAAGGCAGCAGTGGCCACTGGGCAAGGAGGGGGGTGGGGGGTAGAGCCCAGGCTGCCAGATTGCCAAGGCACAGGGAGCAGACTAAGGAGAACCCGTCTTCGTCATGGGGAGGCAAAGCAGCAGCAAGAAGTGGAACCATGTGTGTGTGCAGGCTTCAAGTCTCTGTTTGGTGCTCTACTGTCTCGTTGGCCTTCACTTGCAAAACACAAATTCAAAGATAAAATTATTAAAAATTTCAAGACAATGGCTGCAAAACATTAAACTTTGAGCACAGGCCCTTCCAAGCACTGGACTCTGGGAAACTGCCCTGGTCTCTCTCCCGTGAAGCCAGCTGTGCTCACAATACCACAAAGAGCACAAAATCCATAAAATATTAATAATACTTTTATTAACTACCTCACATACTACAGTAATAGTCTTTTTTCTACATTTTTGTCACTGTATACTCTTTCATTGCCTCTTCATGTAACAATGATTTTGACATATTTTCTACAGAGAGAATAAAAATGTTGTCTTTAGCATGGTTGATTGAAAAAAGAATTTTTTTTGATAGTTCGGAAACATTTCTTTCATCTTCTCAACTCGTTCTTGGTAATATCATGGAAATTTTTAGGACCATTGCCACATTTGGGAAATTCTCAACCATGTTTCTTTCATATTAAGAGCTGCAAGATTTCAGGATATTTTTGGTTTCCTTGTGCAGGAAATAATATGTAATATTTTTTGAATTGGTGATACTAGTTAACCAGCTTGTTGGCACTCATTGTTGTATTTCATGGTTTTGGTGGTCTCGGAATATGTCCACAAATTACCTGTCACTTCCTTTAAGAGGTGAAGCTTAATTCCCCTTCCCTTGAATGTGGGCTGGACTTAGTGACTCACTTCCAACAAACAGAATATGACAGAGGTGGCAGCTGGTCACTTCTGAGACTAGGTTATAAAATGTATTGTGGCTTCCTCCTCCCTCTCCTCTATCCCCTTCCTCTCTCCCTCTCCCTCTCCCTCCTCCCCCCTTCTCACCACTCAATCTGGAGGAAGCTAGCTGTCTGGTCATGAGGACACTGAAACAACCATAGGAAGAGGTCTATGTGATAAGAAATAGTCTTCTTATTAACAGCCAGCAAGGGGCCTTCTGCTTATAGCCACGTGAGTAAACTAACTTGGAAGCAGGACTCCAGCCCCAGTCAAGCCTTGAGATGAATGCAACCTTGACTGATGTCTTAACTGTAACTGTTGTGGAAATATAATGAAAAATGAAATCTTCTGCCCCTAAGAAAGACTTTCCTGGGATGCAAAACTGGCAAGAGGCTTATTTAGCTTTTAAAAAGACTTACAAACATCTGAAAGAGACAGAAGTAAAAAGATTTACAATTACAACTCTTTTAAAAAAAAATGCTGAAAGAAAACGTTTTGTGGGAGGGTCTCTTTTTGGCCCCAGGGAAAATTTAATTTTTTTTTTTTAGATTTTTATTTATGAAACTTCATAAGCTTTCCTGATCCAGAGGCACCCAGCTAAGCTGTTCCCAGATTCCAGGACTTCAGAAACTGTGAGATAATGAAAATTTGTTGTTTTAGGGTGCTAAGTTCTGGGGTAATTTGTTGTCCAGCTACAGACAACTAATACGGTGTGATGCATAAAACATGCAGTTTTATCCAAAGACACAGGGGATGTTTGAGTTCTACCAGGGTTTGTACCTCACACAGAGGTACAGAGGAATTTAATTATTCTATTTCACTGGATTCTCATTAGAAAACAAATGTTCAGCAGAGTTCCTGTAACTAGAAAAGGAAATATACATAAAATTTTTGAAGTATAAAAGAGAGAAAAAAAGAAAAAGAAAATAGATCATGCGTCCATAATTGTATTTACTGGATTATCAAGTCTAGTCATATAGGAGAGAATTTCCATTTTGACTGAGATTCACTGAAAACCAAATCTTCCACTTACTATTTTATGATTTTACTGGTTGTAAAGATTTTTTTGCAGACTGTCTTCTGCCTCTCTACATTTCACGCCATGCTTCCTTTCCATTAGCCACACACAAAGACACAGATATGCACCACCCGAGAAAGGGCTCCCTATACACTTCAGGGAGTCTCACTCTGTCACCCAGGCTAGAGTGCAGTGGCCTGGTCATACTCATTGCAGCCCAAAACTCCTGGACTCAAGTGATCTTCCTGCCTTAGTCTCCCAAGTAGCTGGGACTACAATGCACACACCACCGTGCCTGGTTAATTTTTCTATTTTCTGTAGAGATGGGGTCTTGCTATGTTGCCCAGGTTGGTCTCAAACTTCTGGCCTCAAACAATTCTCCTGCCTTGGCCACCCAAAATGTTCAGATTAAGGCATGAGCCATCACACCCAGCTGATCAGACATATTTGAAAGAGAACCAAATTGAACTTTTATAAATGAAAACCATAATAATTGACATTAGAAACTCCATAGGTGAGCTGAACAGAGATTAAACATAGCTAATGAGAGAATTAGTGAACTAGAAGTGAGATATAAAGAAATTAAACAGATTTTAGTACCATGAGGCAGAGATGGAAAATATGAAAGAGTGAGTTAGAAAGACAGAGTTAAGAGACAAAGAGAATAGAGTAAGAATGTAATGAAAATGTCTAATTGGAATTTCAGAAGGAAGAAAAAATAAAGATGGGAGAGAAGCAATATTCAAAAAGAAAATGGAGAATTTTCCAGAACTGTTGAAATACCCCAATTTTCAGATTCAAGAATCTCAAGTGAGATAAAGAAAATGAAATCTCTTTCTAGATACTGTAGAATTCCAAGGGCAAAGAAAAATCTTTGAAATCAACCATAAGAAAATACAGATAACTTACTGTAGTATGTTGAATAATGCCCCTCCCCAAAATCATGTCCACCAGAAACCTCAGAATTTGGCTTTATTTGGAAATTGGGTCTTTGCAGATGTAGTTAGTTAAGATGAGGTCATGCTGGATTGGGTGGGCCCTAATAGAATGACCAATGTCCTTATAAAAAGAGAAAACAGGCCAGGTGCGATGGCTCACACCAGCAATTCTAGCACTTTGGGAGACTGATGTGTGAGAATTGCTTGAGGCCAGGAGTTCAAGACTATCCTGGGTAACAGAGCAAGACCCCATCTCTAAAAACAGAAATATTAGCCCAGCTGTGGTGGCATATGCCATAGTTCCAGCTACTTGGGAGGCTAAGACAGGAGGATCGCTTGAGTCCAAGAGTTTGAGGTTACAGTGAGTTATGATGACATCACTGTACTCTGGCCTGGGCCTGGGTGACAGAGGAAAACCCTGTCTCAAAAAAAAAACAAACAAACAAAAAACCCAAAACAATCTGTCATAGGTTAGGATATGATGGGATATTTTTATAAGTTTGATTTAAAAAAAAAAAAAAAAAAAAGAGAGAGAGAGAAAATAGAGGGACACAGAGAACACCATGTGATGACAGAGGCGGTGATTGGAGTGATGGATCTATAATCCAATAATTGCCCAAGATTGCCAGAAGCTAGGAGAGAGGCTTGGAACAGATTTTCCCTCAGAGCCTCCAGAAGGAACCAACCCTACTGACACCTTGAATTCTGTGCTGCTCACCCAGAACGCTGAGAGAATAAATTTCTGTTTTAAGCCACCCAATTTGCAGTAATTTGTTACAGTGGCCCTAAGAAATGAACATACCTACATTTACAACTGAATGGTTATTAGACAAACAGCTGACTTCTCCAGACCAAAAATGGAAGT